TGGGGGCTCTTGTGTTTGCAAATCTTTGAGATATCAAACGAATTCCTAGTGGTTTTTGGCTCGAAACAATTCCGATACCTCCAAAGGGTTGAGGTTTGCCTGGCGCTTGAGAACCTCGGATTCCTGGAAACAATTAAGTTGCCCAAAAGTTGTCCCAAAGTTGTCCTCAGCCCCCCCATCAAAGTTGTACGAAAAGTTTCCCTCCCCACCTAGACCCAGCCGCGCAGTTGTCCTCTGAGGACAATTTCGAGCATGGCCACAGGCGGGCACCACGAGCTCCTTGCGCTCATCTCGAGCGCACAAGCTTTCCAGATGCTTGCCTGACTGCATATGTTGCAAGGCAAGGCAACGAGCGCGCACCTGTCCAGCGTCGCGAACCCTTCAGAGACACCTAGCAGGAATACGCAATCATGCGTCACCGAGTGGGAACTTTCAGTTCGACGGCACATGAGGAGCCACGCTCCCGCGGCCAAGTCCATTCGGCTATCTCCACGCGGCGGCGCCCGTTCGGGGGTGTACCGCATCACCTGGACAACGTCAACAGGGCCGCGTCTGCGCAGCTGAGATCCTGCTTAGAATGGCCCAGCCATCATTGGTCAATCGGCAACGTCCGCGCAGGCACGATTCGCGGAAGGCGCCGCCACGCCAAATACATTGCCGTGCCCAGTGGGCATTGCCAAGGCCACATATTCTGGGCGGCGATGTTATCTTTCGCCGCGTGAAAACGAATGTGTCTCTTCGCCTATTCCAGCGCGACCACGCCATTTGGGCGACGCCACGGGGGCGTCGCATCATTGGCGAGCTCCTTCAGCGGCGCCAGACCGAGGGCGAGCACCTTGCTGAGCGCCTCTGGCCACGTCCATGCACCCCTGTAGTTTCTGTTGCGTTGCTCCCCATGCGCTTGTCCCGTGCGTACCATCCCCATCCGCCCGTTCACCCGATCGGGGTCGGCTGCCCACGTGGCAGCGCCTTTTTGACCAAGGCGACCCAGCCGCATTTAGCAAGGCGCGCGCAGGTTGGACGCGCATAGGCGGCAGGGCGAACTGATCGCATCAACTCGCGAACCCATTGTCGGCGACGCAAGCGCGGCAACAGCAAGGTCGCCGCGCCCGTTGGGGCGCATGCCGCCCGCAATTGTCGTCCGCATGCTTCGTTGCCGAGCGGGCCCATTCAGCGCAGCAGCAAGATCAGCACATGTGGCAGTGCTTTCGCTCACGCCGATTCCTCGCGCGCGCATGGAGTGCAAGCTTTTTCGGGCAATGGCATTTCCAGTCATGCGCGCGCCGAAGTGGTAGCATCTAGGCGGCTGCGCTCAGCGGGCCGCGTCTGGTCAGCCACGTCCGCCTGGCAGCGCGAGTCGGGTCGCGCATGCGCGGCAACGTCTGCGGCGAGCACTCCCGAAGCATGACTGGCACGCGTGCTCTGAAGCACCCGCGCGTGGACGCGCAACAACGCGCGTGCGCGCAGGGCGCGTGCCATCCACATGCAAGCCCATAACACTTCCAGCATCGTCGATCCAACCAGGCTGCGCGAGGGGTACTCTTCGCATGCCGACCCCACGAAACGCGCAAGAGCCGCGCGTGCACCGAGCCATTCGCGCAAGGCCGTGTCATTACGAAGCACGGCTGCGCAAATCTTCGAGCCAAAATGGCCACGCGAGCGGGAGGGCGAGAGCGAGAGCAGGAGGGGCTGCGGCAAGGGGGCAGGCAGGGGGGGGCGGAGGAGCGGGGGAGGGAGTGAGGGAGGGAGGGGTACTTACGGGGAGCAGAAGGGGGAATAATGCAGCAGGGGGGGGGGCAGAAACTAGGCAAGACTAAGACGGGGTCGGAATAGCAACAGCTGCAATTATATACACGTGTTCATACGTTTAGCCCCCTGTTGCTTTTACCACGGGGATGGGGGTGGAACTTCAACCGCAACGCATGTGCCTCGCACCGTCTACTCTCGAACTTTGGGCCCGTCCTGAAAGATTGATTCGCCAGGCCAGCCAGGCGATCATGATTGGAGTGGGTCATGCGTTAGAAGACGTTGGCAAACCTGCGAAAGACATCAGATCACATTGATTTCTCGTTTCTCCACACGCCATAGATCTATCTATGGACAGGGCGGCGGCTTGTCTTGGCCAAAATGGCCAGCCGCTGAGAGCACCGTCTCTCATTTGACCCGCTTCTTCGCCACAACCGACTCGGCCTCGACGACCAAGACCTTCGGCAGGTACGGGGTGTAGTCATCGCCCTTCTTCAGCCCGTGCACCTCCCGCAGCTGCAAGATCGCCTGGCGGACAGCATCGCGTCTCTTGTCTACGTCCTTGTCCCTATCCTTCTTAATCTTCATGACCTCATTGATCATCGCGCAGGTGAGCTTCGTAGTGCTGGCAGCCTTGATGTCATCAGCCATGTTCTTGCTCTTGAGATCGATGCTGAACATGGTCTCCAGCTTCTGTGTGTTTTTGAGCTTCTCCTTGCACTCCTCGATTGCGGCCTTCATCTTGCCTGCGGGTAGCTTCGCGAAGCTTGTCACGAACTTCGCGTGCAGCTCCTCCCACTCGGTCCACTCCGCAAGCGGCTTCTCTGAAATGAGCCAGTGCGCATCCCCGCCAGCAGCATCACCCAACGAGTACCGATTCATATCTATCACACTCGTGATATTGTCCTCGACTGTGTACTCGCTGCCCTTCTCCACCAATGTATTCAGCATGGACGTGGACCTGTCCATGGCCAACAGAAGGTGGTCGGCCAGGTCCTGGCACACCAGCGCATTGCTTTCAGAGGGCTGGGATCCCTGCGGCTCCTGGTAGAACTTCAACTTGGCGAGGATCTTACGTAGATGAAGCCCCGCGCGCGACAACGTCTCAGCGCGCTTCTCCCACGTCGGGTCCCAGCCATCCGCGTTGTTGTACTAGTCTGAAGCGAGTTTGGTTTCATGCATGCACGTCAACGCGGACTGGATGGCTTGGATGATCGTCTTCTCATGGACCAGGTCGGTGCCGTAGTAGAAAGGCAGCGTCTCGACAATCGAATCAAAAAATGGTGCACCTTCAAGTCCAGAAGCTCGACCCTCATGCTGCTGACCTTGGCGATGCAATCCTTGAGTATGCCCTGGGTCTCGGTCTGGAAGAAATGCTCGGTGACCCTCGCCTCGACAAGCACAGAGGCTAACTTATGGTGACTATCTTCTGGCGGGGCGTTGGAGGAATCGAGGGCGCCATTGATGCCGACGAGAACAGCTTCGAACTTCTTGGTGAACCTCGCCTCGGCAGCACTTTTCAGCAGAGATCCCAACCTCGCAGTCATGTCGTGCGTCCATTCGCCCATCGGGAAAGCTAAGCTCAGCTCGTGCACGATCTCCTGCACCGCCTGTGTTGTAACCTCCTTGGCCTCGGTCATCTTGGCGTCCTGCGCGCTGTCCACGCTGTAGTCAAACAGCATCTCCACGTTGACGATCATGTCGGACCATGCCTGCGCTTTCCCATTGATGCTCTCTGCGAACGGCTTCAACCAATCGCCAGCGTGATCCGCATAGTCGGTCAATAGCTTCGCAGCGTCTTTCAAGCCTTGTCCAATGACCGAGCTGCTTGTGTGTTCAGCTTCTCGTTGATCTTGCAGATTTCCTCCATCACGGGCTCCATGAAGGGCATGTCGCGCTGGATCTTCTCCAGCTGCTCCTTGTAGAAGTTCGTGCGCATGCACGCGCTGGCCACTGACAACCACCACCCCGAGCCCTCAGTCTTCGAGGCATCGATGAACTCTTTGACTATGCTGGAGTTTGCCGCTGCCTGGTCGAGCCCCCCTGATAGACAATCGAATACTGTGTTGATGTCTTCGACCTCGCTGACCATTTGAGCCTCGGGCCCGTTGAGATCCAGCTTGTCGACTTGCTTGAAGTGCTTGCCGAGTGCCTGAAAGAAGAACTGAACGTGCTTGCTGTGCTCCTTTCCGTCGTAGATGCGGGGAACGATGAAGGACGTCAAGACAACTTTCGTCCACGTGTCAAACTTCGACTCATCGGCGACCTCGATCGCGGCGAGCCTCGGGTGCTCTGGGTCGAAAACCTCCTTGACCTCAAGAGTGAAGGGTAATAGAGTCCGAAGCAACGAGCCCACCTGCTGACCCGTAACGTGGAGTCTCGTGGGCTCAATGTACATCTGGATGATATGGCCCGCCTCCTTCACTGTCAAAGAGATCTGGGTAGAAATCGCGATGGCAACGCCTTTGGCCTTCAGGTTCGCCGCAATTCTGAGCACCTTCTCGCGAGGGAGGGTCGGTAACGATGCGGGCAGCAGTTGCAAGCATTCATTGGCAAGATCAATGTGGTCCTGGAGTTTGGCGCCAACCACCTTGTGCTCATCCTTGGACGCCAACCTTTTCATTGCTTTCTCGGCGCCCCCGACTGTGCGGCCCCAGCCCCCCTTGATGTCCTCCGCCATCATCCTCGTCAACGGCAAGCGGCTGAGCTTCCTCTGGTAGAGCGCCTCCCCTGAGGAGGTATGGAAACCACGCGTGCGAATGAGAATATCAGGAAGGCTGGGGAGAGACGGGGGCCCAAACTGGCACGGCTAGGACGGGTAGAAATGGGAAGTGGCACGCACGAATCATTGCGTGCTGTCCTTCACTGCCATCTTGGCCCCGCGACCCCGCTGCCCCCCCCCCCGCACGCAGGGAGAAACCCAAAACACAGCCGACGCAAATCAACTAAAAGTTTGAAGTCCGCCGCCCTCCTGCCCCCCCCATCCTCCTCCCCGCGGCCCTCGCCCTCTCCGTTGCCCCCCATCGTCGTCGCCATCCTCCACCACCCTCCTCCTGAACCTCATCCCTCCCCCTTTTTCTATCTACCTCAGTAGTATATTCCCCCTCCCCAAGCGCTCCTCGCGCTAATCTTATCCTACCCAGGTCTTCCCGTTATTCTCAGAGCGCTGTATTTCCAAACCTCCATGTCTCAAAGAACCCTGCATCTATATTCCACGAACGGCCCGAGAGCCTTCCAACTTGAAGTCCTGCACTTCGTCCTCGTCGCCGAAGGCGGTGCCCGCTGCCGACTGGCCGCGCCATGAAGGGGTCTTACCTGGGGATGGATCTCCAGCACTTGCACCAGACCTGCGGGATGTCTTGACCGCGGAGCCGCCCGCGTCAAGATCGCCGTCGTAATAAGGCATGGTGCACAAGGAGGATGACCGTTTCAGGTTCGCTCGGGCATCGCTGACCAGCTCAGCGAAGGTATTGTCGTCAATCTGCGAGGCCCCGTCGGGCGACTGAGCCAGGGCACTCGCGTGGACGGCGGCCTCCAGCTGCACGCCCTCGTCCTCAGAGTTGACGCAGTCCTCGACGATGACCGTTCCTCCTCCCGCCGTCTCACCCTCAGCACCGAGGTTCGAGCGCGGTAGCTTCTTCACCTCCCCTGTCTTCTTAAACTCGTCGAGGGTCTGCATGGTGCGGTAAGTGTCGGCCACGCCGTTCAAGCCAAGCTGCACGTCTAACTCGCGGGAGGTCTCCTCGGCCATCTTGCATGCTTGGCCACCCCAGAACTGCTCAGCCAACGCGGACTGCTCGATCGAAACGCCGATGGTCTGCACCAGGTTCCCCTCACGAAAGGGCCTAGAGGGGTCGCGGAAGCAGAACAGCTCGTCATAATCGGCCCTGCTCGCCGAACCCGCACTCGAGCTCGGGATCATCATTGATTGTTTCGGCATCTTGACGGTCGTGATGCTCTTAATGTGTTTGGGCAGCCTCTGCCACTCCATCTCCCTCATGAGGTCCTTGGCTGTGAGTACGACCACGGGGGTCTTGAGCTCGAGGGTCGTGGAGGCCGTCTTGTGCACTTGGGAGTCCTTGGGGGGGGGATCAGGCGACATGCCCTCCCACTCCTCACATTCCGCCTCACCCGCCGCTCCCCTCCCGACAATGCTAATCCCCCCCCCCCCCCCCCATCCTCTCCCCATCGGGGGAAGGATGATCGAGGGAGGGCGAGTGGCATAGGACATTGCTGGAGAAGGCCGAGATGGGGTAGGAGGACACGTTCGACGTCCTCGAACTGCTTCTTCTCGCCCTTCATCACCTTCACCACGGTCTGGATCTCCTGGTGCTGCTCGGGGTCTTTCGTCTCAATCTCGCAGAAGTCATCCCAAGAAAGATGCTGGAAACCCTTCAGGTGAACGTCGCCGCAATCCTCGCATTTGTCGCCAACAGGCTGCTCGACAACTTTATCGCCCTGGCTTTTGACAACAACGGTCTGGACCTCGAACCATTTCTTCTTACTAGACAAAGCATTGCACTTCTTGCACTTGAACACCGTTCCCACTTTCACGACCTTCGGAGCCTGCTTGAGCGGAAGGGCCTGCTTGATTCCTTTTGCCTTGGGCGCCCTCCTCCCGCCACCGCCGCCGCCACTGCGCGCGCTGCCAGCGTCGCTGGCAGCCGCGCCAGCCACCATGCGGTGGCAGCCACGGTAGAACAGCACTGGTCTGTATTGGCCTTTGGACAGACGAGAACACAGAGCTCCTAACGTGGCTTGAACCAGAACATCAAACCACAGTGGATATGAACTTCCACGCGACGAAGGTAGTCGAACGCTGAGTAAAGAGAACAAGCAACCCAATCGAAATTACACTGGCCAGCCAGGTGGGCTCCGCACTCAATGCCGAATGCCGCGAATGCGTCGAAGCCACGACCCCGAATAAACACAATCTCTGAAGCTTTGCGTAGCACCCAAGCCACATGCAAGATGCGAGCGAACCCTGTGGCCTGGATGATGAAATGCTCTGGGAAAAATCAACGTGAAATAACAGATCCGCCTCCAGAATCGGAGTACCCGCGGCTGAACCGTTCTTGTCTGAGAATGCAGCATTGACGGCGTGTGAGTATATGCGAGCGTCTGTTATGTAGTTCTAATTCCATGGCCAATGTGCAGCCGTCGGGCAACGCAACGCAATTCAATGCGCAAGACGCGCGGCCTTCGGGCAACGCAACGCAATGTAATGCATTGTGTAAACAACAACGCAATGCAACGGAACGTGCAACACGCGTGGCCTTCGGGCAACGCACCGCAATGCATTGTGCAAGTTGCAACGCAAACGCGCAACTACCAGCCAAGGCCCCGATAGTTCATTATTGTCGTGGTCGTGGTGGTCGTCGTCGTGGTCGTGGTCGCGGTCGTCGTCGTCGTCGTCGCCCTCAAACCTCATCTTGGATAGCGGTGTTGCGGGGAATGTTATCTGACAAATCCAAGCGCCTCAATGACAGGGAGATGGGAATGAGGCGAGGGAGGCGGGAATGGGTTCGTCAGCTCTCAATTCGGGGATCGAGGATGAGGCGAGGAAGGCGCTAATACGGTGAGGGAGGCGAGGACGAGGTGAGGGAGGTGGGAATGGGGTGAGGGGGCAGAATGAGAAAGGTAAAGAACTGTCTCGCGTTCGAGGCATCCTCGAATATCTCTCAACTTCGATGCGTGACCGCATGTTCTCATTAAATCACTAAGCACTGTTGCCAAGGGCACCTCGTCTGCTCCAGGACTCCAGCAGGCAATCCTGTGAGCTCTACGGCAGCGCAACTCCTCTATTGATACGGCCCCCAGCCAACAAGCACATGGGCACTCGGCGGCCCTGCCTGAACAGGCGCCTTGGCGATAGGCGCGCTCTTAGAAAGACAAATGAGATGCGTCGCAAGCATGTGCGGTGGCGGGGGGGTGCTCGGAGGGCGCGCAAACGCCATTGGCGGAGTCGCGGGCGCCTTGAAGGTTGCATGCTGCCTGGTCGGCGGGCTCATGCCGCCGATGCCGCCCACATGGCGGGTGCCGCCCATGCCCTCGTCACTCAGGATGGGGCGGACCCCATTGATGGTGCCGCCCTTGTGGGTGCAGCCGCTGCCGACGTTGCCGCCCATATGGATGGTGCCGCCCCCATGGATGGTGCCGCCCATGCCGTAGCCCATGCCGTAGCCCATGCAGTAGCCTTTGCCCTTGCCGCCCCCATGGATGGTGCCGTCCATCGCGTTGCCGACTGTCGGTGGGTTGCCATCCACAATCGGCCCCATGGCATGATTGGCCCCGTGGTCGTAGTTCGGGGCGGCATCGTCGATCCCGCGCTGCGGATGTGTAGCGCTGCAACCACCCCAACCCTCGTGGACGTGGTCGAGCAACTCCCCGTCGGGAACGACGGTGCCGACTGGGCCGTTACCACCTCCCCATCCCGAACCGCACCGCCCATTGTCGGGGACGCGGGGCCCGCAGCCGCCCGCGACGCCCATCACCACGTTGCCATGCGCGCCGCCGCGGCCATCATAGCCCGCCGCCGCCTGGCCCTTACTGTCGTTGCCGCCCATGCCGCTTGCCCCACTGCCGCCATTGCCGCCCATGCCTTTATTCGCCGTGCCGCCTCTCTCCACGCCGTCGCAACCGCTCATCTGCATGCAGCCTCCCTTGCCGCCGTCCGTGCCAGTCCAGCCGCGCGTGGGCCCTGGCCGCCAGCCGCCAGCCGCCGTGGAACCATCGCCGCCCTGAGCGTCGGAAACCGCGTCGCCACAGCAGGCGTGGGCAGAGCTTCCCGTGCAGCCGCCACCCCCGCCGCCCTTGATGTCGCCGCCGCCCCCCACCATGCCGCCCCGCTGGTCGGCCCCCACGGTCGCGTTACAAGCCTGATTCTCACTGGCAGCCTGCACTGGTTTCGGCAAGACGCTGACGTACCTGGCGAACTCTGGGAGGCCCACTGCTTTTGTCACGTCGGACTCCCTACCTGGAAACGTAAAGCGTGAGCCCCCTGCTTCGTGGCGCCAAATTCCGCCGCCGCGTTGCGGCGAGGGCGTGATAGCACTTGGCCGCCCGCTGCGTTTACGCGCGAGCACCTGTTTGCCTACGATGCACATATTTTGTTAGCTGTCGCCAAAGACGATTTCTCCACGTGTCTGAGACCCCATCGGGGCCACTGCACTCCAGAGCCATGCTTGCAGACGCTGGCCCAAACAGCGATTTCTAGTATGCTCTGTGATGCAACCCATGTGGTGCAAGATGTGCGGCGTACGCGATGCGGTACCGTGCAGAGGCAGCAACGCACCTCAGTGTAGCAGAACGCAAATCAATGCGATGCGATGCAAGACAATGCAACGCAATCCAAAGAATTGCAAGGCAATGCGCATCAATGCAACGGCTATGCAAAACAACAACTCCAGGCTGGAGCCATATCCAGACGAAAACACTGGATCATGCAACTTGCATTCGCTGGAGTCACAACCAGAAGAGACACGCGACCTTGTCATTTGCATTCGTTTGTCTCCTCCGCTCGTCTTTTGGGACATCGCTGTTCAAACTTTGCTGTTGGACCCCTCTTAGGGCCCTCTTGGAGCCCTCCTGGACCCCTCTCGGGGCCCTCGTGGAGCCCCAAGAGGGGTCCTCTTGGGGCCCCAAGAGGGGGCCAGGACGTGTTTGTTGGGGGGGTGGGTCCCGAGGTGCCCAAAGAGAGGGCCAGGAGGGCACCAGGAGGGCCCCGACAAGGCCCCATGACGCATGTACGTGGGCGCCCCTTATGGCAAGCCCCACAAACATATTAAGTACATGCGGCTTGGGGTTATGTTGGGCCCCTCTCGGGGCACTCTTGGAGCTCTCTAGGAGCCCTTTTGGTGCCCTCTGGGTGCCACCCGAAAGCGTGCGAGAGACATCCGAGGAGACTCCGAGTCATTCAAATTGTTAATTGTTTTTCTGCTCGTTTTCCCCCAACATCATTCTCCTCCCACTCCTCCTATCCCCCTGATTCTCCTCCTCCCCTGTCTCCTCATACGCCTCCTTCCCTGCCTCATCATCATATGCATTATCCTTCTCCCCGCTCCCTCATCCATCCATCCAGCCTCCCTCTCCTCACCCCTCCTTCGCACGGTTCGGCGATCCCCTTCTTTGCCCCCGCTCTTCCCTAATCGCCTGAGCTCGCCTGGGCTGGAGGGGCTGGAGGGGGCGCGCGAAGCGTCAAGAATTCCCTCGCGCCTTCGTCACCCATTGGCAACTAGGGAGGGGGATGAGCAGGAGAGGTGACAACGTTGCGGGTGTGCAAATGAGAAGCAGTACAGACACACCGACTAGAAGGCAAAGGTTTTTGCAACACAAATAGAACCCAGAGTGTCAGCACTGTGTTTGAATGCCCAACTCACCCCCCTCTCCCCCGACCCCTCGATTGCATCCTGGGGTCCCCAGAAGCACCCTCGGAATCCGATCGGAAGCCCCTGGCGTGCGACCTGGGGGCGGCGGAGGCCGAAGGCCGCTGGCGACGAGTCCTGCCACGAGGTTTGATTCGTGAGCAACCCAATCTTGATCAGACAGCCTTCGGGCCATGTTGGTGAGCTCCGCCAAATCGTGAACTGACAGGCGGCCATGTGCCATACCTGCAAAAAGGGCAGAGTAGAAGAGTCGCATCCCTGAATGCTCTGCTCTGAGCACTAAAAGGGTACGGACAGGGGAAGTTGACACGGACGGGCATAAATCACCCCGTCCCAGACGAAACGCAACTTCTCAATCTAGCCGCGGCAACGCACACATCGTTCAAGCTGCGTCCAGCCGCGGGGACGAGGGGGCCCCTGAAGGCCCCTCCACCAAAAAAGTCGAATCTCAAGTCTAGGGCGCCTTCGGCCTTGGACGCGAGGCAAGAGAGCAATGCCAGGATACACAGTTCAATGACCTCGGACCTCAGCCCTCCCTCGAGCGCAAGGGATGCGTGGTAGATGGGCGGCATGGTGCTATAGTTCTGCCACGTTGGGATGCAGGGTGCATCTCGGAGGCACGAGAACATACACACTTTGGCATGCAACACGCTTTGGGGCTGGTGGACGGGCCTCTTGGACTCGCCCCAGGGAT